TTTTTTTTAGCTTATTTATTTATTTATTTATTTCCTGCAATCCCACAACTTCCCGGAGGTGCTGGGCATCCCCCGGACCCCGTCCCGCCGGCTCATCCCACACGGCTGTTACTTCATCGCCGGCAAACCGGTGTCTGAACTTTTCCCTTTTCTAGTAAAAGTGGCGATTCCAGCTGGGGACTCTTGCCTAACAACCTTTTTTTTAAAAAAAAAAAAAAAAAAATTAATTTTCCGCAGAAGTCGCTGGCTGAGATGCTTTCCCGAGTTCCAGAGATAAGATAAATAATTTACTGGATGGAGGGCTCTGATTACTCACTCTATTAGCATTTAGAGCAAAGAGCTCCAGCCACCGGGAGCCGAATTCTTCCAGACGAAGCCCATCTGGGCTCCCGCGCCCGCGCGAGGCCGAGGAGTTCCCAGCATCCCACACATACTTGTGGGATGAATTGCTTGAAATCGAATGGGGTTTACTAGAAATGCTTGGTGAGCTCCCCGCTCCTTTCGCATTTTGGGTTTAAAAAAATAATAAAACACAACCAAAAAAGTCGGCTACGGAGCTGCGGCTCAGCCCTCGCGCCGGCCGGGAAGGGCTCGCCACCGCCGGTGCCTCTTTTAGATTTACCGAGGGTGGAGGAGGGGGGCGGGCAGCGCCTTTCTCCTGCCTTATTCCCACCCGACGCCTGGGCATATTTGGGACGACTGGTTCTGCCAGTCGGTGCTCAGCCATGGGACGAGTTGACTCAGCATCTGGCCCCAAACTCATTATCAAATTCTTTCCTGGGATGATGAAAGGTACCGAAGGGGCTGCCCTGGAAACCCGGGCTCTTTATTGACAAACAGAGCTGGCCCCGGGAGCGGCAGGGCTTTCCTGGGGGCTGCCTTCCCCTGACCTCCTTGGGAGGTGCAGCCTTCTTCCTCGCTCTGCCCAAACCTGCTAATTAGCGTCGAAGGGAGCAGCGTGTCTTGCAACCCGGATGAGCCGGGGCCAAATCATCCTTGTGCGTAAACCTGCCCAACTGCTAATTTCCCCGGGGGACTGAGTCAGCGGCCGCCTCTTCCTGCCCGACACAGAGGGGTTGCATCCCCTCTGGCTTGGGGAACCCCCCCACCTTGGAGCTGATGGAGACGCATTTCTCCACGCCCGGGCCGTGCGGAGCGGGGATGCGGCCCTGTTTCCTAGCCGTGTCCATGCCTTTCCAGAATAACCCACCCTGTTCCCCAAATGACCCCAAACCAGGACTAGGAGCCACCTTTTCCCCCCAGGCCCATCCCACGTACTCACCTTCCCCTGCCAGCCCAGGCGAGGCCATTGGGATGTGTCAGACATCCAGGCTAACGCGCAACAAACCCCATCCTGCTCCCTACCCACTTTGCCCTCATCCATAGGGATCACCTCTTTTCCCAACCCTCTTCCTCCGGGACGAAAGCCACCGAAGACAGCCGGTGCAGGAGAGCAGCCCGCAGCTTTTAGCAGGTCTTGCGCTTGCATGGACGCAGGGGTGTCCGAGCAGGGCTGCAGGTCCTACCCCAACCAGGCAGCAGCATCCCTGACCTGGGCCACCTCTTTCCACCCCTGGGTCAAACCCAATGCTTGGCGTGAGTCCCCGAGGAGCAGTTTTGCAGCTCAGAGGAGCTTGCACGGGGCTTGCAAAGAGGAAAAACCCAAGCGGGCCCATGCCTGGGGAGAAGCAGCAGGACCCCAGGGTGGCACAGGGTGCTGGTGGCAGATCTGCGGGAGAGGAGCTCCCAGCAGACATCAAAAGATCAGTTCTCAGCACTGCAAACAATCCCGGCAGCTTTCGGGCTCTTCAGCGGCATTCCAGTCTAACCGGGGCTGCCTTGCATGATAATCAGGCTTAATTACTGCTTTATCGCTTGATTGCTGTGCTGGGCCCTTGGAGCTGCAGTGTTGCTTTCGCAGTTTACTTTTTGTATTTCCTCCCCCTCGCCTTCCCCGCCAGCACAATTAGCAAATAGGTGAAAATGGGGAGGGCCAGGGCGTTACCCAGGGGGGAGAGAGGGGCAATTTGCTGCCCAGGAGTCCCCGGCGTGGAGGGGGAGCAGATTTGCAGCCCACGGAGGGTTAAAATTGAGGTTTCCACCCATGTCCTGCAGACAAATGAGCAAGGTCAATGCCAAGCCAGGAGCACAACCCCATATCAGCCCCAGGAGCATCCCCCTCCGGAGGGGACAGCATCCCTGGAGCAGGGAGGGGAGGATTGCGGGGCGATTAAAGCCTTGACACAGAAAGGCCGTGGTTTTCCTAGCATGAGCTTTGAGTCATTGCGTGACCTTGGCTGTGTCTGCCCGTGGCTCCCTGGGCTCGGGCTTGGTCGCCCGCAGAACCGGCTGGCCCAGGGCGTGGGGTGAAGCGGCAGCACGGACCTGCCAGCCCTCGGGGAAAGCACGAAACCTTCCTCACCTTCCTCACTTGGGCCAGCAAAGATGCTCCCACCCACCTGCAGTCAGCAATCCTTGGCCGCACCGGCGAGGAAGCGGGTGCTGCCCTTGGCCAGGCAATGGGTGCCGTGGTTGGGACACTCCCGATGCGCCGTCACCTGCTTCAGGTCACCTCTACGGCGGCAAAAATGCACCTTGGTGTCTCCCCGGTGACTTTGGAAATGCAATAAAATGTGTGCACGTTCCCCAGCATCGCCGCGGTGCAAGTGATGGGCATCACCCTGCAGGATGCGGCCGATCCCAGGGTGCATGGAGGCTCCAGGGGGGCTGCAGAGGTGCTGGGCTCCCCCCCAGACGTGGGTTGGGATTGTGGATGCCGGGAGCCAACGCAGCCACAGGGTGCTGGCTGGGTGCTCCTTCCCATACTCTCCCCTTCCTCAGGGTCCCAGGGGTCCTCCCAGACCCAGCTGAGACCCCAAGGCAGCGGTGACAGCTTGGGAACCGCACGTCCCATCCTGGGCTGGAGTCACCCAAGGACAGGGAGGGGAAAGGTCCTCGCTGGTGTGCTGGAGCACCCCGAAACCCCTCTATCGCCAGCACCCAGTCCTGGGCCTTTGGGTGCTGATGCCTGCTGGCTTAGCAAGGTGATGGGACCTGTGAGCTGGGCAGGGGACCCATCCCACACCCCAGGAGCAGGCGTGGGGATTTCTTCTTTTTATTAAATTTTCAATTTTTTTGTGTGCGTCGGCTTTTAGCGCGGGCTTTTGGGGAGAGGTGTGCGCGGAGGCGGCAGCATGGCTAATCTGCTTTGTGAATGGAGCCGCACGGGGGGC